TAACTGTAAATGCGCTCGGGACCAAAGTAAGCAGGCTCGCCGAAGGGTTCATGAAAAGTAACAGTCTTCCCTTTGTATAAAAGCTCTCAAGGTCGAATTTCGGAAACCGAGCCATTTTCATGATCGTGACCTAGAAAAATCATCGATATGAAAAATGAAGCTCGGCCGTGATGAAGCTTGCCAATGCCCTTTTTTTGTGCATTTTGGTTGATTTTTCACGAAAATATCCCTTAGTAAATTGAATTGCATCCCATGAAAGTAAGTTGCAGATATGTCTATTTTGGTGTCAAAAGATACGCCGTCTCATTCTGCGTCTGGCTGATGAACTCCCAGGGTAATCTGACCCGCACATCAAAGCATTTATCCGTAGCTTTAAATTGGCTTTCTCACTAACGGATGTGATCGACAATGCTCAGATATCGTTTGTTTTCACTGTTGGCGCTGATCTTGATGAAAGGACAGGAGAGGGTTTGTCCACAAATCGGCCCTAATGGAACTTTCGTACTCAGAACCGTGATTGTCATATATCGTCTGAAAGAACTCAGCAAGCTGAGTATTTTTCATCACGAGACTTGGTCTCCAAAACATTTCCTTCAGGAGTTCTAGTCACTTCAATTTCATGAGTTTACGATAACCTTGATGATTGTCTTGAATAGAACTCTTCAAGGCAGTGTCGCAGAGACCAAGTTCCGTGACAAAAAACGCTCAGCTTGCTGAGTTCTTTAAGACCGTGTATGACACGGAATTTTTTGAACAATGTACGGTTCCCGAAGGAATTACACTGAAAGCTTGCTTCGATGGTTCTATTGAGAGTTCGTTTTCACTCGTCCAAAATTCTTGCCGTTCTGCAGACCAGAAGAAAGGAATTATCAGCAGAATTTTTGGTTTGTTTTCACTCGAAAAAAAGCACGACGTTGAGTAACCTTTCTTCGTTTATCAAAGAAAAAAAGAACAAAAAATACACAGCATACGTGGTCTTTTCAGCTCTGTAGCTTATCTTTTACCATGCTTGGACTGCTTTAACATGTCATTGTTTTCTGCTGTCTTATAATCTATACCAATGGAAACAACCAAAATCGTCTTTCTTTGGTCTCATGTCCATTCTATCTCGACTGCGTTTGAACGAGCTTTTATACAAAGGGAAGACTGTTACTTTTCATGAACCCTTCGGCGAGCCTGCTTACTTTGGTCCCGAGCGCATTTACAGTTACTACGATAACGAATTGAGTGCACATGCAGAGTACATCAATGTAACCTACTCACAGATCATCGACGAAATACTCAAGGCCGCTGAAAAGAAAAATGTCTTTGTGAAAGATATGGCCCGCCACGTTGTTCGACCTGACTACAAGTCACATCCAGAAAATATAACTGTGCTTCCAATTGACTTTCTCAAGCGATGCAAACATACGTTTATTCTTCGTACGCCAGAAAAGTCAGTATCTGCTTTGTACCGTCAGTATGTTGCCAGTCAAAAAGAATTTATCCACGCCGACATAGGATATCCAGAGTTGCAGGCCTTATTCGCATTTCTCACCGAGCTTACCGCCGCTCGTCCACCTTTGATTGAAGCAGACGATCTTCTCAAAGAACCCAGAGCGATCATGCAAATGTACTGCGAATCAGCTATTGATGATAAATTTGAACCCAGCATGCTGACGTGGAAAGCAGAACGGATTCAAGCATTCGATAAATGGCCAAACTCACATGAACAGGCCCAGTATAGCACAGGTTTCAATCAGGTTCAGAAACCAAGCGACAATACTAATGACCTTGTTCTGCCTGCCGATGTACAGAAACTAACCGAACAAAGTATACCCATTTATGAAACCCTGCGTGAATTTAGGATGCGTGTTTGATATAGGAGAAAAGACCGTAACATTCGCCATTCTTATATGGTGAGGGTGAGTTGGAAAGAAAATTTTAATTCGTATGAGAAAGACAATGAGGAATTCTAAAACGAATTCTCGATTTTTCAATACTGTTCGATTATACATCAACGAATATCATAATAATAAAACTCCGGTAGTATCGATGTTGTTGGCATGGGTCACGGTTCCATAAATGCTACTGAATGTTTTTTTTAGTCACTTTCGATGAAAACAATGTAGCGAACTGTGGTTTTCATTGTTCAAAAGAGCAGACGAAGATATATCGAGGCACGTAGTAGAGGTTTTGTTGATAGTTATTGATTTCTGAAGTGTTTTTATCCATTTTTCTGATTACGAGGAACATTTTTTTTATAGAAGAAAAAAGAGGAAAAAGCACAAAAATAAGCATGTTTCGCGATTTTTGCCAGAAAAATTCATTAGAGGTTCAACTAGAATATAGATTATTCTTCGTAGCCTTCCGCACTTTATAGATCTGCGAATAGAAGTTTGAAGCTATACTTGAGAATCGAAGATATACTGGAAACGATTTGTCCAACGAGTTTTTCCTTTGAAATATCAATGGAAAACATAATGAAAAACAGATCAGGAAATCTTTTAATGTACATCAAAAGAATCATTCGTTTGCTATTTCGTAAATTAGTGGTGATTGAAGCAAACAAGATGAACATAAGTGTTCAGAATCCTATCGCGAGCAAATCACTCAGATACTAATTCATCCTTGCATGCATCGTCCATCGATAGCGCAACAATTAAACATCCTACTATGATTGATCGAATAAAACACAATCAACAAAGAACGGTCAATGACCGTTATTTGTTGATTTTCTCATTTTTTCTCTCGTAGTTGTTTGATCGAAAGAATCGTGCTCAGAAGAGTTGTTCAAATGTTAGTGGCTAATAATAAAATGTTACTAATCATTTTATTTACAAATAAATAAATAAAGGAGTCTTCGTTGAATAAAGAGTGCTACACAGCAGCTGTATTTTCAAGTTTTTATTGAGATGGGGTTTCAAGAGGTTTGGAACTATCCTTAAGTTTCCATTAACACAAAAAACTAGATAGGCTTGCAAAACGATGTATCCGAATTTTAGAGATCTGGATTATGACGTCCGTCATAAATAGACCTTTAACTTCGGAATAAATAAAACACCATTATTAAATGTAGCTTTAATGCTGAATCAGGGAAAAGTAGTATAGAAACTAAAAAGGTAAAAAACTTGACCGAAATTTGAATATTTGAATTTTTCGAATACTCAATCATTTTTCGAGTGGTTCTGAGTTTTTTCGATACGAACAAAATTTTTGAAACTTTAAAAACTATACTTTCTTAATCAACTCGATAAGCTCTATCGAATGATATATAATAAGTTTAAAGGAAAATTTGCTACAGTTTTGCATTACGATAACCTTGATGATTGTCTTTCTTTCTTTCTTTCTTTCTTTTATATTTATTGACAACAAAGAGAAAGTAATAATAAAAGATGTTACATTGTGTCAAAGGAGGTACATCAAAAAGCATGAGGGCTTGTAACAACAACAACAAAAGAGTTGTAGTAGACATACACCTGATAGAAAAATAACACGTGACAAAAAACGCTCAGCTTGCTGAGTTCTTTAAGGCCGTGTATGACAGTTACGATTTTTTAGCAGAAAACGTTTCTTGGAAGCGATCCATGGAAACACCAGCCCCTGCCTTTGCTCGAGCGCAGCATCTTTTAGACTGAGTTTTAGCATAATTTTGTAGATCTCAGTTAGCTCTATCTACTGTGAAAAAAGGGCGGTGGTTCACTGTTCTTTGGCAGAGTTCCCCTGAACCAGACTTTAGGGACCAGGATGGTCCATTTGTCTTGACTTTCCATTTATCTCGACTGAGAAAAAAGATTCGCATTGATCGTCACTGATTGAATCAAGAATGCACATTCCACGCATAGTGGTACTCGAAACATTCGGGAGGATATTCAGCTTAACTTCATCATTGTTTGTCGATTCTTCGTAGTCAGCCGATATTTCTGTATCATCGGATTGATCCTCGTGATGAGGGTGCTCATGATGTTCGTCCTCTTCGTCGTCGTTGATGTTCGCCCTCTTCGTCGATTGCTTCTGGTGTCTAGGGAAAGCAAGATTATTCGTATTTAAACGAGACGAACACTTGATACTCTGGAGAACAGCCAGCTTTTTAACGCGCCGAAGAAATTCATTCACAAAGAAGCTGACAACAGATGAGAATGACCCAGACATCGATCGAGCTGCACGAAAAGTATTTTCACAGATTCGCGAGTCAAATAAAGAGATGTGTAAAGTCTCTTCAGACATCTTGTGCTCTGCGACGAGTAAGCAGAGATACGTAAGACTGTGGGTGTTTAATTCCAGCGAGAAAAGAGCAGGCATGGTGATGAACGAATGTCGTTTAAAATTCGTAGAGGCATTACTAGTAGAGAATGACTTGGAAATCTTGTCATTAAGATCGGTAGAATCCAAGCTTTCAAGCCGTGCTAACCAAAGGCGAATTAGGCATGCACCGGTTACGGTTAACCGTAACCGGTCATAACCGTAACCGTAAATAACCGGTCGAACGGTTAACCGTAACCCAGGCCGTGAAAAATGAGATAAAAAATGAGCCATAAATGACGCATTTATGGACCATATATGGCTCATTTTTAGATCATATCTTTTCCACATTTATCTCATTTATTATATTATAATATAGTGATAATTT